CAAATATACACACACACATACATATACATATACACATACACATACACATACACATACACATACACATACACACACACACACAGGCGAAAGAGACACGACCAGCTGGCCGGTTTGATAGGGCCAACTTGACGTCTGCGGTGGAGCGCATTGTTTGTGACGTTCCGACGGACCGACGGACCGACAGACCGGTCTTCTCGACCGGCTGGGATAGGCCGAGCCGGGAGCAGCTGGTGCATGATGCAAATGCTTGTCGTCACGGTGCCAGGTGAGGTATTGGGTGCGGCGTTGTCAGCCGTCGGGCAGAAAAGGCCAACCAGAAGGTACAAGTTCTGCAAAGAATGCCACCGTCGCGAGGAGGCCCTTTTTTGTTCAGACTGCCGAAGTAAAAAGGCCTATTGAAGAGAGACGGATCCAGACAGAAGAGTCTTGTCGTCAAGGCGACGACCACAGATGGACCCTTTCGCATCAGAGGGAGTGTCTACTCGAGGTTGAGGGGAGTTTCGAGGCGGGTCGGAGCGAGTGCTGCGATGGCGACGAGGGCGAAGATGGAGGGATTCGAAGTATGAGCTCGGCGACATAAAGTGGAATGGGACAGACGAGCCAAGTGTCAGGTGACATGGAAATGTGTAGACATTCGATTGCCTTGTCGACACTCGCATCACACAGAATTGTGCTACAGAAAGCGAGCAAGCCTCCTTCAAATGCACATACGCCCTGTCATGCAATCACACTCGTGGCAGTCTGGCGTGGTGGTCGACGTGTCGCGAGTGCACCCTGGACTAGCCCGAATCGGGTTCGAGTTCCGGTGTTGGTGCTGAGGAGACTGATTTTGGGGGGCACGGCTAATTGTGAATTGGAATGAAGAAATGAGGCCTAATCGTGAGACGATCAGTCCTTCATCGACTTAAAGGAAATATGTCGAAACCAGTTCTTATTCAGGTTCTATCAAATCAGATGAGGTCAGAATAGATAAGATCAGGTCAGATGAGTTGAGTTGAGTTGAGTTGAGTTGAGTTGAGTTGAGTTGAGTTGAGTTGAGTTGAGATGAGATG